TGACTAGCCCCTGAGTTGCTGTTATGAGTTACATCCTTCTTCCATATGCTCTTCTAGTATTGCTCCGTCTCAACCAATGTTAGAGCTGCTGTTCTCATATTGTTCCCCTGCCACTGAGAGTACACCTTGGATGGTTCAGCGGAAAACATCTGGTTTATTCTCCTGCCTTCGATCTCTCTGGTATTCCCCTTCAAACACCTGGCCAAGGCTGTGAGTCTTTGCTCGGCAGTTTCCAAGGTCTCAGGTATGGGCAGCTTGCTGTACTTCTTAGACACCCCTTCTTCATTACACCTTTCTGGAGCTCTGACAGTTGATAGTTCCCCCCTTACTACCTTGATCTCCTTCTCCATGAAGGGCACTGCTGCTGTGGTGTAGATCAGCTTGTTGGTTTAGGTGATGGTTGCAGTAGGGTTTGTCCGTAATGCTGCATTCAAATCTTCTAGTAGCACTTCTGAGGGTGCTTCACTTACTCTTGTTAACCACCTACCGATGGTCAAGGTTTCCTGCTTTGCCATAAATCCTATCTTTTAGGCAAGCTGCTCTTGCACTCAACATTCCTTCTGACAAACTTGATGCTTGGTACCCAATCTTGGTTGGAGCTGGTGATATCTCCCCACTGACCTGAAGCCCTTGGTCCCCCTTGCTGCAGCATTTGTATTTTACTTCATCGATCTCGAGTTGGGATTGCAGTTCCTTTCTCTTAATGTTGGAACACTGAGCTACTAGTTGTTTCACCATCATCTGGATGTTGGGTATTGAAGATTTCATAGGTCCCACATTATCTTCATGTTTCAGGAAGCTTCTTTTTAGACGTGCTAGTGCTGTCAGAAAATGTTCTTATTTTCTCCTTTATAGCTTTAAAAAAAAAATTGTGTCTTTCTATCAGTTATATTAATGAGGTGGACAATGCATTCAAATTGCATTATCTTTTGATATAAGGCAATATAACAGGATAAATTACAGTCTTAACAGTTATGATAAAATTGTATCAACACATCTCAGGTTTCCGGATATCGTGTGATATTAAACTCCACTAATTTAAGCTACATATACATAAACTAGCATCTGAGTGAATGCTTTTAATACTGCTGATAAAATTATGAAACGACCCAAAATAACAGTAAATGTACCTTCCTTACAGTAAGTGAAATGAGTGTAAGTTGTTACCGTGTACCATAAAGAGGCATTGTTCTTGAGATCCTATAAATAACAAATCAGTATGTCACAAAGTCACAGTGACTAGAGCATGAAAACAGATTTTACAAATGAATGTGTAAAAAGAATATCAATTTAATGTCACTCTTTAAAACTTCGAATTAAAATTAAACAAGGGATTAGCCATTAGCCGTTTCTTCCAATAGCTTAGCAGTTAGCTTTGTGTTTACCATTAAATTCTTACTTTTGTTAGTTTTTTTTTAATTTTCAAATCAGTTTAGTTTTATTTTGTTTATACAGAACATTTGCTTTATCATTTCTTCGTTTTAGTTCACATCTAGTTATATTGTATATTTTAATCGTTAAAAATTCAAAACAAAATACATAAACATTAGACACTCCCACTGATATACCAGTCTCACAAACACACGAATACCACTGATATACTGATTTATACACACAAATACCTTCCATGCCTAATGTGACCATATTTGACAGACGTTAAAGACATTTCCTATATTTTTCATTTGTCCACGTTCATTTTGGAAGTATGGCATGTTGTTTTATTTAGTGTTCTGTAATTTTCTGTTTTAAAAAATTAGTTAACTTTAACATCTTAGTTTCTAAACATGCAAATAAAAATGAAAAAATGTTTTTGCTTTGTAGTTGTTAGTATTTTTATGGGATTTACTGACATCAGAGAGAAAAAAAATGCATCAGTATAATGGTGAACTTTTTTTTTCTAAAATTGGACTTTCTGTTATTTCAAAAATATTTTTCTCTGCTCCTGCATCACACTGAAACACTCACAATCATAACTACAGTCAGCATCTCACCTTTAGGTACTGTGGTGATGGTGGAGCATACACACAGCTGTTCATTATGTAGGTGCGACAGTTGAGGTCCTGGCCTTTTGTCTTCACCGATAACTCCACAGGACTGTACGCTCCTAATGTCACGTTCTCCTGACTAAGTGTGTAAACAAATGTTACACGTCACGTTGACCAGGAGGACACTGAATAAAATCTATGAGAAAAAAACAACTTTACCTGTCAAGAGACTCTAGATCAGACACGTTCATCCTCCACACCACACCCCACACCTCGTCTCCAGGGCTGTGCTCTATGGTGGCAACACCTCCATGCCATCGGTCACTAGCAAGGCCTTTGTGGTTCCCAAAAACCAGTTTATAGTCCTGAAAAGTGACAAAAGGAAGGAATAATTAAATGTGTTCATATGGGAGAGCTTCCACTTTTTTCACAGCACATCATACCTTGAGCCTGGCTACACAGTGTACTGTCGCAGAGGGATTCTTGAGCTGAAGACGTTCCTTTAGCAGGTTACTGCCATATGCAAAGTACAGGAAAGTGTGGTTATCCTCCATGTTGTCATCAGTCTCTGTCAGGAGGAAAATTAGAACCAGATGGACTGATGGAAAGAAAAATATGCACAGTCACAGAATAAAGCAACACTGACAGAGGTGAAGAGCAGAGGTGACCCAGTTTTGTGGAGGTGCAGCATGCAGAGGTGAGAACGCGTCAGCTACAGAGTGACAGGAATGAAGCGCTGGCCTTCCAGCACCCGCACACTATTCTTATGTTAATCCTGTGTACAGCCACCGAGCTCTATTCAGCTCACAATACACGGTTTGCCTCGTGTGTTGAGCCAACAGTACTGAGCCAGGCACACACACACACACACACACAAACAAACACACACACACACACACACACACACAGGTGTTTCCAGCTCCCGAGTCTAAGTGTAGTAATAAATTGCTCACAGCCAATAGGAAACGTTATGTTATTTGTTACATTACAGTAACAGGTTGTAACCATTTACCATTTGGAACCAGCTCTCTGTTTAAAACGTCAGTCTCTGATCCTGTGAGTATTACCCAGTAAGCAGTACAAAGCTTGGATGGAGCCGCAGAGGAGACTCCGCATGTCGAGCCTGCTTCCACTCAAGCTGTTTTCCAGGGCATGTCCACTCAGTCACACCCACTACCACCACTCTCCTCTAAATTCGTCCACTTGTCGTTACTAACCGAGTTAAGATTTAATGCCCTTCATTTTTAGATTTAGATTTAGACTCGGGTGATGTTCTCTTACTCAACAACTTAATCTGTCTGTGCTTCTCTCTTCCCCTCCTTGACGTCTACGTCACCCTATTTTAAGTCAAACCATGTGAAAGGTTACAAACATTAAAATCACTTCATTACAATGGACACATTTTCTTCTTTTTTGTGTCAAAGTACTTGCAGCCAGTCTCACACTAACCGTGTCAGGGCTAATGAGCGGTATGGATTCAGGCGCGGAGCTCTGGGTTGAAGCCGACAGTGCGTTTATTTACAGTGCGAGAAATACAGTCTTCAAACAGTGAGATATCCAACAATGTCCTTTCTCTAGATCCCAAAAGTGGTGAAGGCGAGTTTCCCCGTGAGGTCGGTGTGCACTCCTTCCGTGTGAATTCCTCCTCCCGAAAACACCCGTGAACCCCTTTTCTCCACTCCTCCGTCCCGTACTTCTCCACCTGAGAGACGAGCAAACACAACAGCGGATAAGAAGGCTTGCCTTGCTGCGCGGGTTATAAGATCACGAGCACACTTATCTACCGAGCTCCGAGTACAATCCAGCGTCGACTGCCGTCTGGACACCCCGTTAAATACCTCTGTGTAGTGAGGAATGATTAGCGGCAGCTGGAGCTGAAGGTTACCCTTCCGGGTCAGAGGTCGGCCTTTCTCGCTCTCTCGGAGACGCCGCCCCTAGGCATAGCCCGACCCGCAGAATAGGGAGGAAGAGAGAAAGAGAGGAAGGCGCACACACATCACAAATAAACAAGCAGGTCGTCCGGGGAGGACCGTCCGACCGTGACAAACCGGCACTAATCTCAAAGGTAAGTCAAAGGTAAGTAATATCAGCACACACAAATACAGATATTAGAATCATTTCCACTACTAACTACATTTATCATTCATGATAGTAATTAGACCTTAAAGATGATTTACAATTGCCAGACTGTGGAGACAAAGAGAGGAACACAGAGAGGACAACATGGGAACAGGTAAGACAGGACGAAGAGACATGACTGGGATGAAAGAGAGACACAGAGACACAGAGAAGAGAGACAAAAACGCAGAGCGACACAGAGAAGAGAGACAAAACGCAGAGCGACACAGAAGAGAGACAAAACGCAGAGCGACACAGAGAAGAGAGACAAAA